GTGGTAACGATGCCTCTGGAACAAGTTCGATTGGATGATCGTAGGGCTTTCTTGTGGGCATTCGTTCTGACTGCTTCTTGGAGAACACATCGCCATACTCGTGGAAGTGTTTGGGGACATAGGCTGACCAGTAGTCTTTGTCCTGTTCTCCTTTTTGCAGCGCTCTATCCTGATTCCTCTTGGTGTCAAGACCCATAATGAGCGATGCTACGGCTTGTGCATCAGGGTCTTCTGATAATGACACCCATCTGATGAAGCTGTCCATGCCATTCCAGTTGTCACCTAACTCCTGGGAACCGATGAACTTCATTAGGTCTTCGATGTGGGGGATGTTTGTGTCTTCCAGGTCCTCCTCCTGGATTGCTACCTGTGAGGGTGTGCATCTTTGTGGGCACCGGGTGAAATCGACTGTGAGTTTTCCCCAATCCACTTCGGAATTATGCTCCTTGAAGAAACTCATGCCTAGTATAACCTCTTTATGTCCTATATCGGTGACCAAAAGGCTTTGCTTGCTTGTGTGGTTTCTGATGGTTATACTTAGAAGAACCCTTTTCTTAATGGTTCCACCCTTGTTGTGAGATGCATCTGTGTTGTAAACCCTGATCTCTTTCTCGAGTGAGATCGTAGTGAGATTCAACTGATCAACCAGCCATGGGTTGATGTAGCAAGAATATGCTCCTGAATCGAGGAGCGCCTCAGTCTGGACTTCCCTTACTCCCTGTTTGAGGTGAACAGGTAAATCGATCGCATGTTTTGACGAACCAGTAGATGCGATGTATAAAAAACTTGATACTGGTACATGCGAGAGTGAGTAGGTACTATTACAGTGTCTATGGGAACTCTGGCCAGACCTCAGAGAATCCGTCGAAGAAAATCCTCATCATTTTCTACCTCCGTGATCCTAGTGGCTTCAACAGCTGATTCCGGTTCTGCTTCCTTTTCCTTTCCCTTCACGTCGTAGCTGGCAATGAAAGCACGGACTGCTTCATATCTCGCCTTGCTATTGTTGGAGACATCTGAGGCCGTGTTTGAAGAAATTGCCCTTGTTGCTTGGCCCCACTTTGGCATTTCAAATTTGCCTTTGTACTTGGGGTCGGGGCACCGCTGTTTAAAACTGAAGGGGTGTTTCCCACATTGTACGCACAGCTTCTTCTCCAGCCATCCTTCTTGCTCCTTGGTGAGGGTGGATACTCGATCCACGACCATTGCGTTGGGGTCTTTTGGGGCCCGTGGTGCCGATGATGATGATGTCGTAACTGTTCCGTGTTGTCCTGCCTTGTCGGCTCTGAACTTGGACTCTAATTGAAGACATAGGTCGAGATATTCTGGCCATGTGGTGGGGTCAGAAATTCCTAGACTGTCTCGTGTGACCATTGCCTGGCGTACGTCCTTGCTTCAGTGTTCAGCGATGTAACCGATGAGTGCAGTGTGCCCTAAGTTGGTCTTAGTGGCCCATTGGCAGAACTGTTCTGCAAAGGATACCATTGTGAGATACGTTTTGCTGCAGATATCCTTCAAATGCTGCTGCGCATCCTTGTCCGGGTCGAGGATCCTGTAGTTTACTTTGAGGATATCGACAAAGTCTTCCCATGTGCCAAGTGCTTGCCATGCTGCTGCCTTGGTTGCATATTCTGACATGTATGTGAATGCGCCACCTTCCAAATGTAGCAGAGCTGTGGTGATCTTGTGTTCATCGTCGTTTATCTCGTTCCACCGCATCCATATGCTGAGTTGTTGGAGCCAGTCCTCCAGACTTCCTTTGCCTGAGTAGTGTGGAGGTTCAGCTATTTTGATGTGTGGCTTGTGCACTTGGACCGTGCCAGATGTTTGACCTTGCATCATAGTGACGCCGCTTGCTTTGAGCGAAGCTAGCTCGTGCCGCAGCTTAATGTTAGCTGCCTTGATTTCCATCATTTCTTTGCCTGTGTCGAGCATTGCCACCTTGGTTCCCGTGAGTTCATCATTTAAGACCGCCATGTGCGCATCTTGCACAAGGATCCTATCCTTGAGCTTTCTGATCTCTGTCTAGAGAACTGCCTCCTTGAGTCGGTGCTCGTTTTTGTTGTTTTGGATCACCGATTCAAAGGCTTTCTTGTGCTCGTACATCTTGTTTCCGAGCACATTGTAGACCTTGGCGATCTCAGTAGTGACCGTGAGCTTCATTGCGACGATCACCCATTCACGGATGTGGTCCGGGACTTCTTCGGGAGCGGACTGTCTGAGAGCATCTTCCAGGTGCTCAAATTGGTGTCCATCAAACTCTCAGATGGGTGGAACATAGGCTGGTACAAGTGATGGTGTCGGGGATGCTGGTCCTCTGACTTGTGATGCAGAATCCTGTGGTCCTAGCACAGGTTCAGGTGAATTGCGCTGCGAGGCGCGTGGAGTACTGCTGTCGTGTGCTGACTCGACGCTTGTGTGAAGAATGTCATCCATTCGTTGCCTGAACATGGATGCGTGTGCACGATTGGCTCCTTCCATTGTGATATAGGTGTATGTAAACTAGTACAAAAAGTGCAAATATCTCGCTTTCGAGATAAAGACCAGAGCCTTGGCAATTTCCTGCAGCCTCTCTTCCTTCCCTATCTGCTTGAAACTGATTCCTCCCATCTCCAGACAGACTTTGTTAATAACCTGCTTCTCGATGAATGTATATGTGCACGTTCCTGTGTGTAGGTCAGTGCAGACTTTATCGAGCTCTGTGGCGAGGCTAAAGATGGGTCCTTGATGCTCGTCCTTGAGACGATATGAGAATGCTCCTAATATGGGTTGGAGCCTGAAGCGGGTAGCATCTACTTGCTTCGTAAGGGTCTCGATGTGGATCGTCGGCCAGACTCTGGAAGGGAGTGGGCAGATGGGACGTGTGATGGTGTTTGTCTTCATGAAGTTGGGTAGGGGACGAGTTGGAATGGGAGCAATGATGGGGGGAGGAACTGCGTTGGAGGTGATAAGCTCTGGGGGTGGTGCTGGCTTGCGACTACCAGTGGTAAGACATCCTTGTCTGGGCTTGTAGCATTCAAGTGGTGGGGTGTGATCGTGAGGTTTGCGGATGATTCCGCGCTTTATAATGTGCATAGTATCGACAATCCTAGCTGCTGTGTGCTGCCTGTCTGTGGACGATGCACCGAGTGACGTGAGTGTGAGGAGTCTTCCACGCTCCTTGTTGGTTTCCTGACGCTTGTAGTGGGCATCGAGGTCAATCCTGGGGGTGGCCTTGCACTTTGAGGCTTTGGGCAGCTCAGAGTCTTGCTGAGGCTCACGCTGGGTAGAGATCAGATTGGAATGTGTGTCAAAAAAGCCACGCGCTACGGCTGAAACTGCTTGCACTGAAAATACGTGGCCACTTGTGTTAGACACTAAGCAGGGGTGCAGAAAATGTCAGATTGTTTCTAATGTCACGGTAACACCAGACAAGAGATCAAAAAGACTAAAAAGGGACAGTCACGTGGAACGTGCTGCCCTGATCCCCCTGATCCCAAAAGTATCCCCCTGAACCCTATGTGGTGCAAGAGCCTGTTGACTTACTGGTCGATGTGGCGGGCGCAGGAAAGGGTGAGAGATATATGAAGGAGCTGGTGAGCTCAGTGAGTGCTACAGGTAGTAGACGAGGAGAAACAATCTGAGGGTTCATCCTCTACATGGCTGGTCTTATATACATGTACAGCGGGCTATCTTACCTAAGCTACCTATCTACGGGTATAAGCTAATGGCCATACATGAAACAATAGGATGTCCGGAAGTAGAACAATAAGTGGGAAGATCGATGGTTGCCGCAGTAATGCGTGTGCTCATCGTGCCTATCTTGGTTTCCCTTTTGTTCTCCGGTGTGAACATCGTGTCTATCTAGGCTTCTGGCTAAACTAATAGGAAGCGGAAGGCCGATGCATAACAATAGTTCTTGTTCCTTTTGTTCCCAAATGGGTGGCCCTATTGTATCCTGGAATAGACAGGTCCGACCGTATCATCCGTGGTTCTGGACCATAACATGTGATGTGGACTATCACCTGATCTCTACACGTCGCGTCTGTGGCTGAGTGGCATGAGATATTGATGAAGCACATGATCTGTGGTGTGAGAAAAGTCACGTGCAGACTTTGTGGCGAAAATCTGTGACACTAACATAAGGTTCTGGTACGCATCTTTCCATTATCGCTAATTCGAAGGAGCGCCAAATTGTATCGACCATATGAGGTAAAAATGTCATCGATTCAGGTAACCTCTGATGCAGTGAAGTTCTGTGTTGATGACAAGCTGCAATAAATGATTTGTGGCGACGTCCAAACATCCTGAAGAAGATAGCCATTTCTGGCACAGCGGTTCTTGACTGCTGAGCGCCGAGCGCCGCGCGCTGAGTCTTAGCATTAGTAACTGCAACTTCTAAGTTTACAAGGACAGTGCAAGGGTACTATGTTCATTGTAGGAACAAAATTCAGAGCAGAACAACCACGCTGACAGCAAACTAGAAGATTCTCAAAAGGAGTATTGTGAAGTACCGTAGAAGTTTGTAGGGTGCTTACACTTTGACAGCTCTGAGTCTAATCACGATTCAGTGTTCAACCTGGATGCTCCCAGAGAATTATAGCTAACGTGCGGGTGAAGGCTCGGAGTGAAAACCAAGTTGCTGAGCCGCTCATCTGCTGAGATCTGGATGTTCATCCGGGACTTCATCTAGCCATTGAGTCGAGGACGAGGGGAATGATTACTTGTATCGCCGGGTTCACTGAATAATGAAAGACCTCGATGTAGTTCTCACATTGCAGATCCAAGCACACTCATTGTAAAACATCAAGCAGATACTAGTAACTGGCCTCAAAAAAAAGGGAACACGCTAATTTAGACGGAGCCTTGTAGATACCAATGTAAGTACTGCAGCCCACTCCAATGAATCACAGAGATCAAGAAATAAGAATGCCGTGTTGCATGGAACGAATGTTGGTTTAACAGCAAATCAGTTGGTGTACAAGATATTAAATTAATCACGATGGGACGCTCACCCAAGATTAGTCATCGGTAGGGAGGACGTAGCACTGGATACCCTCATCAACATATCCAAGGTTGGTAATGGCATTGTCCCTCTTGCTCTCTGACATGGTGTAGAAGTGATCGGTGGCATTAGGGCTGTACATGCAGTACAACGGGATGCTGCCGCAGTTTTGGGCAGAATAGATGAAGGCAGCAGTCTCCCTTAAGTAGTAGCCTAGGTTGTTTACTGTGCTGTCCGCCTCCGACTTGGACGTAGTGTAAAAGCCGTCCTGCCACCCATCGCTCCACAGGCAGTAGAGCAGGATGGTCACCCCAACCTGAGTAGAGAAAACATGGCTGACATCGCCCTCGGATATGTAGTCCTAATTGGTGATCCAGTACTCCATCGATGCGGCGTCGTCCATGTAGTAGTGATCTTTTCTGCTGGGGCTATAACCCCGCAGAAATGCGACAGATTCAGAGACCTCGCCACAGTCATCCTCACCAAGAGTTGCTGTGATGCCACAACAATATGTCAGTCTCCGGAGAGCCAGTCTCATTATGCAGAGGGTATACCTCTGGCTCCTCTGGCTTGGGCACAGCATTTGTGGCCATAGAAAGTGCAGCGAGTACCAAGGGAAGAATGCGGATGACGTTGCGAGTGAACATGGCGATGGAAACAATGTGGAGAGGAAAGGATAATGTTCGTGATTCGCTTCGTTAGTGCTCTTTATACAGCATGGCATGCTCGTTCAGCAGCCTGACTTTGCATTCTCTTTGATCAAGTAGTAATTGAGTCGCTGATTTGTGATCATACCTAGCTGCTACAGTGTAGTGAAATGCTAGAAATTGGTGACTGACAGGCATTCCTGTAGTCGCTCCCTGCATGCTCCGACACGCAGCAGTGGTACAAAACCTCAGAGAAGCAACCTTGCTCGGATCAGATGGAGTAGACACTTGTCAATGTGGTCAGGCTTACCGCAAACAACATAGAGTTTATTCCTATACTGTCAACTTATTTCGATCATATGGGCATGCTACTCACCGATTCTGGTTCACGTCTTTGGTTGTAAACTGAGACTTTAGGCGTCTTCAGTCATTTCTACAATGCCGCACCAGCAGGTTGACCAGCATGCGAAAAGATTCTGAAATTGATAATGGACGCAGGATGACACATCGATATTCTGTGCAGGAAGTCGAAAAATAGAATTTGATGGTCTGTAGAGCCTGTGTGCGAGCATATGTGGCGCACCGCTGACGTTGCGGAGATTCTCATCGAACTTTCAGGTGGGATAGCACCAGATGTGTTCACTGAAACCGATACGTCTGGGGCTCTCCCTCTCGGTGATTGAAGTGATGAGAGATTCCAATGAAGAGGCCAAAACGCACTGTAGGAATTTATGAGTCTATATATGCTTGTCTCCATTGTGTGACTAGGTGAGAAGAGAGAAAGGCTTGCCTGGAATGATAACCCTGAAACATTGCATGGATCATGATGGCGTCCTTCCATCGAGCCCTCAATACAGAGCGACATGTGTCCAGCAGCAAAAATGTTCTGCCTTGAGCGAGTCTTGAGCTTGAAGCCTTGAAGGTCAGGGCAGATCCTCACCATGGGACTTGAGCCATCGTAACTGATACCTCTCTGGCAGTATGTCCAGTCATGAGTCTGGCATGCCTAACATAAGATTGGGAGCTTCGAATGTTATCGACCATATGAGGTAAAAGTGTCATCGGATTCAAGTAACGTCTGATGCAGTGGAGTCTGCGTCACAAGCCGCAATGAACGAGTTGTGGCAACATCCAAACGTCCTAGAAAAGAAGATAGCCATTTCTGGCACAGCGTTTCTTGACTGCTGAGTGCTGAATCTTTGCATTAGTAACTGTTAGCTAAGTTTACAAGGATTGCACAGGAATACTTTGATTCATTGCAGGAACAAGATTCAGAGCAGAACAACCATCATGACAGCAAACCAAAAGATTCTCAAAAGGAGTATCATGCAGTACGAAGTACGTAGCATGCCTACACATTGACAGCTTAGTCCCTGTGAGCATTTGATGGCACTAGGACTTCTCACCTTGGATTCAATCATACATTTTCGTAGCAAGCAATGCCTTGTCCACGTATCGCAAATTGGTGATGGCATTGTCTCGCTCGCTCTTCGAAGTTGTGTAGAAGTGACCGGCAGCTCTTGGACTGGTCCTGCTGTACCTGACCTGCAAAGGACAGATATATGCGGTAATGCCTTCGTTGGTATACCCGTAGTTGTTCGCAGCATTGTCCATCTCCTCTTTGGACATGGTGTAGAAGTAGTCCCTTGAGCTTGGACTATAGATGCGATAGAGTGGGATGGTCTCACCAATAGCAGATGCAAGAACATGGCAGGTGATCCCTTCAAATGAGTAGCCTGGGTGGCTGCATTTGCCATCTCGACTGCATTGGTGGTGTAGAAGTGATCCCCGGTGCCAACACTGTAAGCACGTGGTAACATGATAGCTGCAGCAACGTCGCCATATATCTGCCCTGCAGAAAGCTATGATATCGGGGCAAGATTGTGTGATGGCGGCAACTCAGAAGATATAGCGAATTAGCTGACCTGGATGGACGATTGATTTTGTGCAGGTGCTGCGGCGGCGGTAACAGAGAGCGCCCGAGTGACCCTGATGTCGATCGTGTGGATGATGTTGAGAGTATACATAGTGAGCACGTTGCTCTGATGAATCACCAGGGGGGGGGGGGGGCAACTAGATGCTATAGCCGCTGAATGATCTCATCAGAGGAAGATATGAGCTGTTAAAGCTTGCTGAAACCACACTTGTCCCTGATCATAAGGCACTTCCTCGTGATGATGATCTGACATATATGGCCGCTAGGATGCGTGAACTATGAAAATTTTCTCACGTGACCGATGAGCTTTTGGCATGCCTTCTGAACATCGATTGTTCCATATCGATTGGGAAGCAAGCATCAATCAATTTGATATCCATGAACTTACCATGGGAGGGAGGTCCATAGTATATGCGAGACAGATGCTGTATATTGTATTGTCATGTTATGCTTCTCGTGTGGGATGTACGAATGCATCCATGCTTTTCACGACTTTTGCTAAGTTCATGCCATTGACGCGCATCTTCAGAGACACCAGCGATAGCGCATGAGCGGGAAACGTCAAGGCAGACTCGTCGAATCCTAACATAACAATAGACTCGAAGCACATCAGCACTCGTGATATTTGTGGAAAAAAGAACCATCTTGAGGCCGCTTTGAGCACGCTTGAGCAATGGGAAATGTTTGAGGATGATGTCTTCGATGCAATGAATATCGTTCTGGGACTATAGGCATACTAGCACGCTATATGCGACTCATCAATGCATTGCACTTGCTTCCTCACAGTGATAAAAGCCTTGTGGCAGCGAGATGCATAACTATTGTCCGAGGTGAAAATTTCCGAGAGCTGTAGACACATAGGAACGAGTGACTCAGCCTCGATGTATGATGCGAGTGCTGTATAAATACCTGTAGACACATAGGAACCAGTGACTACAGTGTATAAGTAAAAGCATGTAAGGAATCCAGTAGGTACTTACCTCAGCCTCGATGTATGATGCGAGTGCTGTATAAATACCTGTAGACACATAGGAACCAGTGACTACAGTGTATAAGTAAAAGCATGTAAGGAATCCAGTAGGTACTTACCTCAGCCTCGATGTATGATGCGAGTGCTGAGGTAGCAGGAAAAGATCGAGCGCGCTTGTGGCTATATGATTACATAAGCGAATGCGCGCAGAACGTCTAAGTCCATGTCCCACTGGACATAAAGTCTGTATGACTTCCAACACGCCCACTCAGTGGAAATGCGGACCTACTCTTAGAACACTAATTAAATCCTTCATGCTGCTTGTGCTGTGCGTGACCGATGGTCTTCGGAAAATACTGTGGCTTGCACGGATTGGATGGTAAGTGCCTGTGATGTAGGATTTCTTGAGTCCGTCTGGGCAGATAGAACCTGGGCCGCTGTACGCTGTCTGCACTGTGTGACTTCACCTGGATCGTGCTCGATTGCGGTGCATGGATGGTCGTACTCGTCATTGAGTGTGGCCTTGACGAACCGGATAAGTTCTTCTGTTGTCGCTAATATCTGTTGATCCACGTCTGACATTGATTCTCCGAGGTTCTTTGTCAACTGAGTGACCCGTAGCGCCCGCGCGAATCTTGTCACGTTCAACTGTGCCCACTTGACGCACATTCTTCCCTCCTCTCTCTGGCTGTTTCCCTTCACTTCTGGTTCTCTGCTGGACTTCTGGAGTCTCTACTTCCCACTTCGTCTTGGCTCCGAGGCCTCCTGGAACTGTCTTGGGCTTGTATGCACTGACAGAGGACCACGGATCATCATCGCGAATCGGCGCTGGACGCGCGCATGCAGATTGACAGACATGGCTCTTTGCAGCCTTTGGAGCGGGAGCAGGAGGGGCTGCGCATTGAGTCTGAGTGTGAGAGAGGGATGCTGTAGCCTCTGAGATGGCAGGTAAGTGCTCCTTCTCATTTTCACACTGAGGCAGAGAAGGAGGCGAGCGGTTTGATGCGGTCTGACATGGCAACATGGCGTGATGGCTGGGCGAGGGTACTGTGGTGCCCTCGTTGTCGTTGTCATTGCTGCTGTCATTGTCGCTATCACCGGTGGACGTGCTACTAGGTGCATTGAGTGATGGTGGCATTGAGTCGTGTTCAGTGGCTACGATTGCAATACGAGCCGCTCGTCATTCGTGAGGGGTGTGAGGAGTGCCGGCAGGTAAGCTTGGTGATTTGCCCTGCACTTCGCATTGAAGTTCAGGGTCGTTCACCATGCGTGTCTGCCATGTACGGATGCCCTCGTCGGAGGTGGTGTTGTGCGCGTCATGTGTGCACCCACTCATTCGGTGAGAGGCAGCGTGTGCCTTCACATTTTGAGCATGCCTGAGGGTGACGCGCTTGACCGACTTGAGGTCGAGTCTGGCGTCATGGGCCGTACACCCGTGTGTGCAGATGTGTGTGGCCGAGGGCTTGATGCCCATCTGGATGGGCTTACTGGTCTTCACATCGCGAGTTGCGTTGCTCACGGTGTTCGTGTTACTGACTGCGCCTTGATAGACTGTTTGTAGGGTGACTTCAGTACCCATGTGGCAGGTCTTGTGGTGCCACTTTACGATGTTCGTCTTGTGTGTTGTCGTCTTCGCTGCCAGCGCTTCGAGAGAAGAGTCATCAGGATCTGTGGAGGAGTCTGCGTGTGCTACGAACGCTCGCATGGGAGTGTGTGGATCGACTCGAGGACGTAGAGACCATCTGTCTTGTGTGCTAGGCCCGTCATCTCACCGTTGCAAGTGATTTTGCAGGCGTCACCACAGAACATGAGGGTCTGACCTCGTTCGGCGAGTCACGAGGTGGAGAGGAGGTTGCCCTGGAGCTGCGGTACGTAGTAGACATCTTGTAGCAGCGTCGGGCTTGTACGTCCATCTTCGGTGGCAATGTCACGAAGACCCAATATCAGGCGAAGTCCGAAAGGTCTTACTTGCTTATGTTGGATGAAGCGAAGTGATGGAGATCGCAGACTATAAGAGGTGTACTGGACTTGTAGGGGAAGTCGTAGTAACAGTCAAGTGTATCGAGTATTGACGAAGGTAGATAAGTCTGGGGGTGTAAACCCAGACGAGCCCAGTATATATACAAGCAGGGTCAGACCCCTGATACACTGTCTACCAGGACATGGACACACCTACAGTGGGTCCATGTGAACGGTGACTCAGCACACGTTCTAAATATAGGTGAAGCTCGGTGTTACCTGCGAGCTATCGTGATATAAGCCAATAGCATTAATCTACGAAGTCGTACGAGGCTATTGTGAGACCTTGCCATGCGGCTACAGAGTCAGCGGGTGATGCCTGCTGAGCATAACTACTCTAACTATAGGACCACCTTCCCAGGTAGCGGAGCTTATCCTATTGATGGATAAGCGACCGGGTCTTGTGTCTTCAGATATGGCGCCTTATCTTTTAGGCAAAGTAGTTAGTCCCTTATCTATGATGTATGAGGTCTAGGCTTTTAGCACGTGATATGTGCGCTTCAAGATATACACGTGAGTGAGCACGTGGGTAGTCACGTGATCACGAAGTGAGCAATAAAATAATGTAGAACATTACAGTTTGTAACACTACCCCCTCTTTTGGTATGAACTCCGTTGAATAGCAGATATTTTTCGTTTATGACCAGTGAATTGTTATGATGAATTCGATCGTCTCCACTCTTATCTGTACTTGAGTTGGTGCCGTTCGATCATCTTCAGAGGGTCAATGGTGAAATAAGATTGGGTTTCAAGCGTGATGTGCTTGTGTGGCAGCTTGTTTGACAGTGACATGGCCAACTTGGTTCGATTTATAGCAATAATTCCTGAGGCTCAGTACTTCGCGTACCGGTTCGTTCCTTTTTGAAGTCTTTTGGAATTTTATCTGCCAGTTGAACCAAAACCTCCCCTAGCACGAATACGTGCTGCATTGCGTCATGCTTGTTCGTAAGCCTCTTTTTCCTTTTTATCCAAGAGGTACCTCTCGATCGGCACGGGTAATAGTATGCGCTCACAAATAAGTTGAGCGATTCGGTCGGAAATTTCGACCGTATAGGGGAGATCGGTTGCATTGGAGAGCAGTACTTTGACTTCTCCATGATAGTCATGATCTATTACCCCTGCTTGGGCATCTATCCCCTTAAGTGCCATGCTGCTTTTGAAGCAATTCGAGAGTATGTTCCTGGTGGTGGCTTAATCTTGAGTCCAGTGGGTACTAGAGCACGCGAATGTGGTGGTATAGTTACACGGTCGGCGGCATATAAGTCGAGGCCAGCTGATTCAGTAGTAGCGCGTAATGGTAGTTGGGCTTCTTCCGTTAGTCGCTGTGTCGATAAATATCTGTTTCCAGATTCTACTGCCTCATGAAGTTCTCTTTCTCTGGGACTCATGTCGTCAACGTTGTCTGTAGCATCCTGAATCTCCTGACTCCAGTCTTTGGTGGGATCAGGTGGCATTGTGATCGCCCTGATCGGAGCCGTTGGATGTTCTTCATGGAATTCTTTAATTAATTCTGTGGCATTTTCCAGATTAGTGACTGGTTCCCATGAGTTTTCTTCATCCCCATATCCTGCCCATTTGACAAGGTATTGCAATTTCTTGCATATAATCCTTGCATCTAGTATCTGTTCAACTTCGTATTCGAGTTCTTTACCGATGGGTATGGTCACTGGTTGCGTGTGTCGCCGTCTGGATATAGTATCCTCCACAAAGGGTACCAATTGGCTAGCATGAAACACCGGGTGAACCGAAATGTTTTTGGGTAGGTCCAGCCTGAAAGTGACAGGACCTAACTGCTCCTTAATTGTATAAGGACCAGCATGACGAGGATTCAACTTCCTTTCTGTCATTTGTCAATTGCGGGTGTCTATCATGACACAATCTCCTTGTTTAAAGGGGACCTTGGCAATGTGCTGGTTATAATACCATTTCATTCATTCTGCCACTAGGGTAAGTGCTGCCTTGGCTTGCTCTTGTGCTTCTCTTCGTATATTCTCATAATTGCTAATTTCTGGATGTGACGCTAACTTGGTCACAGAGGGTCCAGCTCTAGGATGACGTTCATATCCAATAAAGAAAGGTGAACTTTTAGTACTTTCGTGTGCTTGGTTATTATATGCAAATTCGGCGGCCGGTATAAACTTTGACCAGTCATTCGAATGATAGTTGCAATAACAGCGTAAGTACTGTTCCAGAGATTGGTTGACTCTCTCCGTTTGTCCATCTGTTTGCAGATGGTAGGCCGTTGACATGGATGATTTGATGTTCAACAATTCGCACCATTCTTGAAATAGTTTACTAGTGAATTGTGGTCCCTGATCACTGATGATTTGGCTAGGAAGACCATGCTGGGTCCACACACATTCATACATGAGGTGCGCTAAATCCTTTGCCGAAAATTCATTGGTGATCGGGTAAAAGTGAGCACGTTTGCTAAATCTATCCACCACAACACAGATTGCATTGTGTTTGTCTGACTTTGGCAACTGAGTGATAAGGTCTACCATTATAATATCCCATGGATGTTCTGGTATGTCGTTGGGCTGTAAGGGACCATACAGTGGCTTGTTGATATTCTTGTTTCTTTGGCATGTTTTGCATGCCGAAACATATCTTTTGACATAATACGTCATTTGAGGCCACCAATAGTTCCGGAATAGGTACTCATATGTCTTCCACCTGCCAGGGTGTCCGGCGGATGGTAAGTCATGGTGTATTTTGAGTACCTCGTGCCTTAGTGATTCCTCTTTGTCTGTCTTGGGTACGTAAACTTTTCCTCGATAAAGCAATAGTCCATCTTCAAAGTTCCAGTCTTCGAGTCCCTTTGAGAACTCCCTTTCTCCTTTCTTGAGTAGTTCTTTGTAACCTTTGGTCACCTCGTCATCTTTTAGTGCTTCTTTGATCCTGGTAAGGAGTCTGTCATCATCTATCAGAGCCTCATGTGAGGGTTGCATTGCTCGTATGGCAAAATATTCGGGCTTTAGCATTGTTTTTGAGCGGTTGTCGTGCTCTACCCCCTCTTCATGATTTGGTCTCCTGGACAGAGGATCTGCACACAGCATGGTTGTTCCAGGTTGGTGCTGCAGATTAATGTTGAAATGGGTCAGATATAGTGACCATCTTGCTTGCCGGCGGGTTAACTTTTGTGCTGACTTGAAATACGTGAGGTTCTGGTGATCCGATATGATCTGAACAACTTTGGGGTGTCCCTCCAAATAGTGTCTCCATTCTTCGAGTGCTCGAATGATGGCAAGCATTTCCTTATCGTAAATTTTATAATTACGTTCATGCTCGTTTAGGGACTTGGAGTAATAGGTGACAGGATGATATAATCCATCATCTGACAGTTGTTCTAGAACAGCACCAGTGGCGAAATTGGACGAGTCTGTTTCTAACCTAAAGGGCTTGTTATCTTCAGGTATTTTAAGGATTGGAGCCATTACAAAGGCTTCCTTGAGTGATTCATAGGCTTGTTGCGCTGCATCACTCCAGATCCATTCCTGAGATTTCTTGGTCAGCATGTTAAGTGGCTTGGCGATTTTCGCAAAGTCTTTGATGAAGCGCCTATAAAAATTGGCGAAGCCTAGGAATGCCTGTACTTGTTTGACTTTTGTCGGTGCAGGCCATTCCAATACAGCTTTGACTTTGGATTGGTCCATCAATACAGAGCCTTTAGAAATTATCATCCCAAGATATTCGATAGACGATTGTTCGAAGAAGCACTTTTCTGGCTTAGCAAACAAATCGTTATCCCGGAGACGCTTGAGCACTTCCTTGGTTAACTTGCGATGCATTGATATATCATCCGTGAAGATGAGTATATCATCGAGATAGACCACTACATGGCCTTCAAGAATTAGATCCTTTAAGATCTCGTTCATCATCGCTTGGAACGTGGCTGGTGCATTGCAGAACCCAAAGAACATAACATTCGCCTCAAAAAGACCACGATGCGTGGTAAAGGCAGTTTTCCATTCATCTCCCTCTTTAATGCGGACATTATTATATCCCCATCGAAGATCCAATTTAGTAAATATGGAGGCCTTAGAGAGTTGATCAATAAGGTCGGCAATTCGAGGAATAGGAAAACGGTTCTTTGTGGTGATTTCGTTGAGTTTACGATAATCCTGCACCAGTCGTAGAGTTCCATCCTTCTTTTTTACGAAGAATACGGAAGCGGCTACTGGGCTCTTTGATTTTCTGATGTAACCTTTTGCCAACTGCTCATCGATCCATGAATCGAGTGAGTTTCGCTCGGCGGGGCTCAAAGGATACCCCTTTGCAGGTCTTGGAAGAGGTGCACCTTTTTCGAATTCGATGGAATGGTCATAGGCTTTATGTGTTGGCATTCACTCACTAGCCTTTTTCGAGAATACATCTCCATAAGCGTGCAAATGCTTTGGAACATGTTTCGACCAATCCTTGTAATCCGCGGTTTCTTTGTCCTCTTCATCTGTCCATTTCCCCGTGTCGGTAATTGCCATTACCAGACGGGCTATTTTTTCGGCTTCTGGGTCTTCTAGTTCGACCCAGTTGATGAACTTGTTCTCATCACCTCCTCCTTCCTTTGCTTGGTGTGGAACTGGCTGTTCATCGCAACCTTCCTCATCAAGAAGTTCCTCTGTCTCTTCTTGAGATACTCTTTGTATAAATTTTTTACACGACCCGTTAATGGTACACGATTCAGGGCACCTGGTAAACTTCCATTGACCAGATTTCCAGTCAATTTCTGGGTTATGCATATGTAAGTATGTCATCCTGAGGATCATATCCTTATCGCCTAAATTGGTGACAAGGCAACGATGAGTCGACCCGTGATCTCCGACCTTTAGATAGGCTCGAAGATAATATAAGATCTGACCGTCTTTGTTGATTGATCCGTCTGTGTTATAGACGTTGTATGGAATTTTCAGCTTATGAAAATTCAATCTGTGTTCCCTAACGAACTTCTTGTTCACAAAGATTGAATATGCTCCTGAATCCACTAGGGCCTCAGCGCGTACTGCTTTTCCTGATACCCACAGTTCCACAGGTAAATTAAAAATGGATTTGGTAGAGGAGCTATTTTGTACCATCACATCTTCAGGAACGTGGTTAATATACATATTTGTAGATGACATATGCCCTCAGTTTGACCTCGCTGGGTTACAGAGATGGATATCAGAAAAATTATTGGCACCAGGGGATGTCACTGTTTCGCGCATTACAGTGCTCCCTGCCAAAAAGACGACAGCCGTGATGTGGCTGGTTTGTTTGCCTGGAGCGTGTCAGGCTCCGAGGACGTCAAGCGTAAGTGAGGATATTTGGCCTCGAGATGTGCTAGCATCTCGAGGTCAGTCTCTTCCTCGTCATCAGTGACTACTTCGCGAATTCGCGCCACTGCGAGTCTCGACGATTCTGCCCCCTCCTCTTCATCATCCGTGACCTGCATCTCGATGCGCCTGACAACCGTCTTATATTTCTTTTGACGTTGCATCGCTGGTCCGGACCCTTTCGTTCCTCTGCCTCCTTCCCTTTCCTTCCATTTGCCCTCCTTGATCATCGCTTTCTTATATTCTTCGCAGCGGTGACCATACTTCCTCTCCTTCTTGCAATATTTGCATACGGATGTTTTCTTGTCCGTAGCATTGACTTCCCCCTTGGTTGACGCTTTCCCCTTTCCCTTGCCTTTGTTTTTTACCTCGTCTACTTGCATGGTGTCGGGGTCTTTCCTCGAGCTTGAGGTAGTGAACGTACGCTTCATGCGACGTTCAATATCTAAGTCCCAGTCGAGGTAAGCCTCCCATGTAGTAGGCCACTGCACCTCGTCAGTTCCCGCATGTACTTGCAGGATTTTGTCGGGCGTGATGCGGCGGATCTTTTCAATGAGGTCCACGTCGGATAAGTTAGACTTGTTGGCCCACTTCTTGAAATTTTTGGCAAATTTGGACATGTCTGTCCAGGGATTCTTGGTAAGGTGCTCAACCTCAAGCCGTGCCTCTCGCGGCTTGTCCTTGGTGTCATACGATGTAGTGAGCCAGTTGACAAAGTCGGCCCACATCCCGAGCAGAGAATTTGTTTGTACCAAAGTGTAATAATTGTCCATGTAGTCATGGGCATCTCCTTTCAGATATGACAGAGACAGCTTTATGTGAAGCTGCTCGTCCACAACATCGTCCAGGTATAGATAGACCTGTTCGAGCCATTCTTTTATCTTTGGAGTGCCATGACCCGAGAATTTCTCAGGTGGAGCAATTTTCTGCTTTGGTAGGGTTGCGGCTGGAGGTATTGGAGGGGCTGCTGCCGCTTGCCCTGCTTGCAAGCCTTGAATGGCTAGTCTTAGCAGGGTTATTTCAGCGGTGTTGGCATCGAGTACCACTCGCTGCCTGGTTTCTAGGTCAATTACACTCTGACCTAGCTGTTGTTGACTGAACAGCGACTGAGAGTGTGTTGCTAGCAGCCAATCCCTTGCAGCTCCCGTAATGTCTGCTGGGACATTTGCGACGAAATCATTGTACACTGCCACATACGTGGCATTCAGTGAACCGGATTGATTCATCAGAGACATAGTGTGTGTCGGAGGTATGGGTGAAGGTAATTGCAGCTGTGCGATTGAGGATGTGATAACTTGTGAAGAGGTTGAAGGTTCCTCTTCTGGTGGTGTTTGAAATGTTTGTCCACGGCCAAAAGATTCCAATTTCGACAAGGATGATCATGATGATGAAGATGAGTAGGTGCTATTACCGGTTAAGCTGTAGCTCATTCACAGTTTTTTAACCCCTAGAATCTTCGGATGTTCTTTCCCAAGAATTGTACGATTCGGGTTCAGATATCCTTGACCCGTCGCTAGATTCTTCGTCTTCTTCCTCGTAATAGGCTGGGTTTTGCCTAAAGGGTGTCGGAATTGGTGGGTATCTCTGCTCTCCTCGATCGTTTATTTCCTCGCACAATGAATTCCAATTGAGATTAAATTCAGGAGAAAGTGAATGTCTTTCGTGGTGTTCTTCCCAATTGTAGTCGAGGATGTTGTCGAGGGAGTTAGTGATCCCCGCTAGTGTGGCCTGTGACCGCCTTGTGCGAATACTGGATACCAGGAGATTGTAGGTGTATGAATTTAACTGATGCTCCTGTTCCAGCTGATCGATCTGGGCTTCGATCCTTCGAAGCCGGTCCTGAATCTCCTCGTCCTCTATTCTTTGTCGTTCCTCCCCTTCTTCGTCCTCCTCATCAAGCGTGTCCAGTGCTTCCTCAATAAGCTCTAGCCACTCGAACCAATCTTCGTAGATTCGTTCTAGTGAGGTTATGAGGGTGGTTTCACGAATGACAGCGTTGTGCCACTGATTGAAGGGGATGAGGATGAATTCAACGGTGTAGTTATCGAAGAAATTGGTCCCTGTGCGACGATAGTATCGATCGAAGGCTATTCTTGCTCTTTCTAGTTTTGGTCCTGGAACTTTGGCAAGTGTTTCTGCGGCCGTTCTAATTGGTGTGGTTTCAAACCCAAAAGCAAAGTTTTCCATGTGCAAGTTATACAGTAACTGCTATCGCACTTGGTCCGACTCTTGCTACTCCCAATTCAAACTTCTCATATATCTCCTTTACCAGCTGCTTGACAGACCCTTTCTGCTTCTTTCGGTATCCGACGAAGTCACAGAACTCCTTAACTATGGCTTGATGTACCATAGATAGTGCGTAAGCGGCGACTGTCCACTTAACCCCTTCGAGTCCTCTGATGACTTCCGAAAGATGGTTGAGGTCTTTTTTTTCGAGCTTGCGTGCATATCGCTTGGTGGTAAGGATGCGAATTTGATGGAGAGTGCCGATGATGCGAGACGTGCTGATAACAGTAAGGGCTATAGGCGGAATATATCTAAATCCGCTGTACTCATTTCCGAGGGTGACATCGGTGATGGGTCCCCTGCCGAGTACTCTGGAAGCTGTGGATGGTGAAAAGTGTTCTCGATATGAACGCGGTGGTCGCCCCTCTGTGCCTATATGTCCTGGCCTAGGGTATCGAGCATGAAGAACTTCCTGATTCTTCTGCTCCTTCTCTTCGAAGTCCTCTGGTATGAAGTCGGTCCCTGGCAATAGTGCTAGGTGATAGAATTCGTCCGGTGTTTGGCTTCGAGGTTGGCAGATAGTACCAACTTCTCGGGTATGCTGCAAAGTGCGGCTTACACGGGTAGAGTCAGCGACTGATGGAACATCAGGTGAAGATATAACACTGCTATCGTGCAGGTGGACGCCGAAAGATCAGATGCGCTGTGTGCGGGGCACTACAGGCGTAATTAGCAGACTTATCTAAATGTCACGAAGACCCAAATACGAGGCGAAGTCTGAAGTCTTACTTGCATAGATGACTGAGTCGAAGTGGCAGATGTCGCAGACTATAAGAGGCATACTGGACTTGTAGGGGAAGTCACAGTAGCAGTCAAGAGTATCGAGTATTGACGAAGGTAGATAAGTCTGGGGGTGTAAACCCAGACGAGCCCAGTATATATACAAGCAGGGTCAGACCCCTGATACACTGTCTACCAGGACCATGGACACACCTACAGTGGGTCCATGTGAACGTTGACTCAGCACATGTTCTAAATATAGGCGAAGCTCGGTGTTACCTGTGAGCTATCTTGATATAAGCCAATAGCATTAATCTACGAAGTCGTACGAGGCTATTATGAGACCTTGCCATGCGGCTACAGAGTCAGCGGGCAATGCCTGCTGAGCATAACTACTCTAACTATAGGACCACCTTCCCAGGTAGCAGAGCTCCGTGTCTCACGGTGTTGCAGGAGCTTATCCTATTGGTGGATAAGTGACCGGGTTTTGTGTCTTCGGATATGGCGCCTTATCTTTTAGGCAAAGTAGTTAGTCCCTTATCTATGACGTATGAGGTCTAGGCTTTTAGCACGTGATATGTGCGCTTCAAGATATACACGTGAGTGAGCACGTGGGTAGTCACGTGATCACAAAGCGAGCAATAAAATAATGTGAAACATTACGGTTTGTGACAGGCTAAATCGATATAGATTTGACCGATACCTTCTGCATGAATGCACCGTCCATCTCCGAGCCAAACGCGCTTCGGTGAGGTAAGGTTCGTGAATTGAAAGAACCAGTCACGGCATGAACTCATGAATGCCGTTGCACCTGAGTCGAGAATCCAATGGTTGGTGGGTAGGCTGCACTGCGTGAGCACGTGGGCGATGAACAGTCAGAGGATGGGGGACACTGTGGTACCCCAGGTGGACGCGACCTTCACCGCAAGGTCTTCACTGTCATCGCTACCCTCTTCCTCCTCCTGCTTCTCCCCATCTCTCTTCTTCTTTCGGCACTCCTCTTCTGTGTGGTTCAGCTTGTGGCAATAGCCACACTTCTTGCTGGATTTCGGCTGCTTCCCATTCGACTTCGATGTTGATGGCATACCTGACAGCTTGGCGGCAAGCACGTGCTGCGATCCCTCCTTGAGGCATTCGCGCTCTTCAGTAAGGACCTGGTTTGTGACTGTCTCCATGGTGAGCTTGTCGCTCGTTGACATGAGGATGGTGTGAAGTACTGAATAGGACGGGGAGAGTAATATGACCATGGCGACTGCGATCAGCAAGTCTTCAAGCGGCTGTCCGAGTGTGGCCAGAGTGTTGGCCTTTTGGACCATGCCGTCAAGCTGTGCCTCCATACCAGTCTCATCAGAGAGCGTACCACGAAATAGCTCACCAATGAGGTGTGCTATCGTCTGTTTCCCCTTCCCCTCATACTGCGCGGTGAGTTTGTCCCATACAGACTTTGCCGTCTTCTCGTACATGATGCCGCTCAGAGGCGTGTCTTTGAGCATGAGCATGATCTGCGCCTTTGCGTCTTGATCCTTGTCATCCCATTCGGCCTGCTTGTCAGATTCAGAATCTGCGGGTCGAGCTTCCTTACCCTGAGTGATGTTCCAGAGTTTCCTGATGCGTAGCACCGTCTCGAGACGGAACTTCCATTGCTGGTAGTTTGCTCCATCATCCTCGAGGAATGGTATGTCGTAGAGGCAGTTTGAGCCGAGAGAGAGTTTGACGGATTTGGACATGGTGTGAGAGGGTGTGGAGTGAGAAGGTGTAGACTGTGGTGCAGGAGGTGCTGGTGTGGGTGCTGGTCGAAGAGAGAAGAATTAAGGAGTGTGAGCACAGTGGAAGCTTGAATGAATGGACAGGTTAGTGTGTAGCTGCGGGGCTCATAACCTATTGTCTGAGGTGAAAATTTCCGAGAGCTGTAGACACATAGGAACGAGTGACTCAGCCTTGATGTATGATGCGAGTGCTGTATAAATACCTGTAGACACATAGGAACGAGTGACTACAGTGTATAAGTAAAAGCATGTAAGGAATCCAGTAGGTACTTACCTCAGCCTCGATGTATGATGCGAGTGCTGAGGTAGCAGGAAAAGATCGAGCGCGCTTGTGGCTATGTGATTACATAAGTGAATGCGCGCAGAACATCTAAGTCCGTGTCCCACTGGACATAAAGTCCGTATGACTTCCAACAATAACTGAGATTAACAGCCAAGGAGTAAGAAGCATCCTTCGCGGGCCTGTCTTCACAGTAAGGCTTCGTGTCCCAATTGACCACAACTCGTTCTGACAGGTGCCATGACACCTGTCGCCGATAAACCATAAGATATGCCTGCTGACCTCTAGAACTGTCCGAAACCAGATTGTTCCACTCAGCCTGCAACTGACTCAAAGATGCAAAAATGAGCAAGAATCTCACAAGGACTATTATCGGTCTTCATGGGATGTGGATATAACCGACATCGATCTCTGAGCCCTCCAAAGGCAATGTTTTCAATAGTGATTATGCAAATCACTGGCATCTTATGGACAACACACAGCTCCGAGCAAGATGACAGAGACAGCAATTCAACTCCAAGTCGAGATGGGCAAGAACAATGTCTAAGATGAAGCAAAGTGGCCAAGTACTGAAAAGGCAGATGACATCTTGCAAGTCGCTTAGTATGTCCTTAAGCATCATGCTGGAATAGCTGCGTCCAGCAGCAGTCGTCAAGAAAATAATAAAAGTACAAAACGAACTGCATACGCGAGCGTCTAAAATTTCGCATTCGTATGTTGATGACACTTCTCATCCTTTAAATTTTTTTTTGTTCCGTGCGTTGAAGGATCTGCTGCAAAAAAAGTGGTTGGTAATACTTAAAATCTGCTCTTCTGCACTAACACTTGTGCAGACGATCGTAACAGGCCCAACGCGCGCTCATACACCATTCAAGATATATAACAGACTGAAGTATTCAGTATTCATTAATTGACCTACCTCAATATATGTGCCAATCATGCGGAACTTCGGATCCTAAGGTGATCTCAGGCTTATATTACAAGCTACATTTGTAATAAACACACTGCTGCTAACTCATACATTTCATCCATTCATCGCACTGCGGCCTCACATCGCCAACCGACCAGACACTCACTCCTTGGTGACCAAAATAACCTATTTTTTCTTGTTCTTCCCCGTCAACTCATCCAGGATTGCCTGACCAGCCGACTCGAGCCCCTTGCTGACATCTTCCTTATACTTGATCTGGTCGCTCGCAACTTTGGGAGGAAACTCCTTGTGGAAGTCCACGAGCCATTTATCGTCTAGAGACGTAACGATGAATCCGGAGACGCGCAGCTGCTTGGCGATGATCTGGACGAGGTTCTTCACGATGTAAGGCTCGCTGGCGGTGTAAGCCGAAATCATACCGCATTCCTAACACACCTCACCGTTCAGCGATGGAGGAAAGCGTTACAAGACGGACATACGATGAAGCGAGCACCAACGGCAGCAGCTTCGAGTGCCGCTTCGAGCGTCTCACCACCTACATTGTCCCAATAGCTGTATATCACTGGTCAGCAGATCTCGGCGCTCGACCCCACTTGTAACTCACATGTTAATCGGGCCGTTCTTCTGAAGCACATCTAGCGCCTTCGTCGTTTTGTAGTTGAACGCGACATCTGCACCGATCGAACAGATAAACTCAATCTTGTTCTCAGAATGAGCGGATGCGATGACTTGAAGCCCCTCAGCTTTCGCAAGCTGGATCACGGTACTGTGAAAAAGAAGCAGGATTGATGAGTACTCTTACGAACGCTTCTGTTCGTGCGAATGAAGCTCACGCCCCAATGGGACCTAGGTAGGTGAGCAATGATCAGACTCACCGATGCGCATCATCTGTTGAATTTAATTACCTCCTCCAGGAGTAACGAACACCACGTCTCCCTGGCCACGATCACATCACATCAGCACCTGTAGCTTTGTCAAGAGCTGGTGAATGGCTTACCTTCTTCGCATGAGCAAATTCCCTCCATCCGTGATGCGCAGTTTGACCTAAACGTCGGCATTCATTTAGCTTAAAGAGGAGACCCCAAAAGAATTGAACGGACCTGGCATGCCCAAGACCCCAATGTATATGGACCACGGAAGCTTCTCCTTATTCTCCAGCATGTGGAAGACACTCGCATCCTTGGCAACAAAGTATTCTTGGAAGGCTATTGCGGCGGCAACAATACAATACGAAGGGGAAACATCATGACAAGATGTACAAAGTATGACCGCGTTAATACGTATGGTAAAAATCGTAGAGGTGGTTGCCTGGCTTGACAGATGGGTTCTCAGAGCATACCACGACACCGATGCCAAAAATTGTTTAATATTGGCACAACAACGTCAACATACACAGGAAACCCTACGCACATGAAACTATTCACAGCTGCCCAATGAGATAGGCAGGCTACGCGGATGTACGCCCATCCGTCAGCGAGCAAGGATCAGCTACAATGTATATGCACCAAATAGCCTGTGATGCTCGAGTCGCGCATCCTGCTTCTTATGTACGGGTCGATGGAAAGCACAAGAGTCTTGACGAGAAAACCACCCTCGAGGGGCGCATTCTCAAGGTCGATGGTCTGGGAGCCCACGGGGATCATGGTCAGACTTGCTCTCATGATGAATAAAGGTGACTGCCATCTACTGGTAGGGATCTCGTTAAACAGAACGCGTCCGTTTCTAACAGGAGCCATTTCTCGATCGTTCAATATCGGGTGTGTTCAGCCTTCAGATGAAGAGGTAACGAAAGAGTGAAGCGAGCGCAGAGACTTTTGTCGTGCTTCATTTATATTGTCGACTCACCACCGTCGGAGCCCATGTTGTTCAGCGATTGCGACAGCAACATCCAATATCTAATGAAGCTGAGCGCTGACGTACAATAGCTGTCTATTCCGATGACGCATCAGTACCGAACCATCATACATCATGCATCAGTCATCATGGACGATGAGCAACTATGGAAAGGAAATCCGGACTCGGAACTCACAAGGCAGTAGAGCTGGTGCCGGCATGGCACATATAGGCACGTACGCTACTGCACTGTGAACTCATCGACATCGCTCATAAGGCGCCAGTAGAGCGCGTTTGTCAGACTTGGGGGCATCAGCCGCTTATGACTTGCGGTGGAAATGTGAAGTTCAGGACCAGCACGAGGAACGAGCGCTGGGCCGAACGCTTGCTTACTATGATGCACTCAGCTGATGTACGTGCTATGTCTCTTCCCACCCGCCACGACCTTCGCTACCAGCTCATCTCGTAGTTTCTTTATTCTGAGCTGCTCTTCGCTGTTCTTCATTATTTCTCACTTCATTGCACCTGTACCACAACTGGGAGTTTACACGACCCACAGAGCAAGGCTGGAAGATGCTAGAGGGAAGTCTACTCAAGGCCTGCACTCCGACAGCAACTACTGGACCCGTAAAGGGGGAGGAGCGCACTACACGCAACGCGTCCAAGGCGAACGGGCGTGCCCTTAGCTGCGAGAGCGTTCCAGAAGATGAGTATTTCTTCATCTATGAGGGCATCGAACTTCTCGCCGGCATGCACCGAGTCACTAGAGAATGCCGCTGAGACTCCCTACCGTGAACCTTTTTAATGCAGCACAGCTTACTGGATTTATTCGTGACGCATTTTTTTTCATCCTCACGAGAGGCTTTCTTGAAGGTCATGCGGGTGCTTGCTAGCGCGCATATACTCACTTGATAAGTCAAGCACACGTCGATTCTCCATGAATGCCCCCGTGCTGGCAATGACCGCACACGCTGGTGGCGAATGCTCTCGTGCGGCGTCGAATGCCACACGCTGTTTCGCGATGGCAAACGGCTTACGCTCTCCCAGCCGTCCTGTCTTATATGCACATGGACGGACTACTGACCTTATATATGCACGCATATAGTCATCCGCACTGGCCGACCGTCCTTATGCGTCCTCGTCGACGGGTGCCTGCTCATTAATGCTGGCCACCAACTTGTGCATCTTTTGGAACCTCACCGGCCATTGCAGTATGCCTCATCAGCTGCAAAGGAAACCCTCACCGTTGTTGTTGTTTTTTTTTTGTTTTCCTTCTGCGAGTCTACTGGGCCTTCACCAGACATCCTGCACGCATGCGTTCATGAATGTATCTTGATGCCATACCATGCAGCTGCTTTCTGAGCTGTTCTGTGACGTTATTCCCTTCCTGATCTGTCATTGAGAAGGCCGGCCCGCCCGGCAAAGTTCGCGTCATATGGCGTTAATGCTGCAAAGATGCAGCATCCTAGGTCATCGAAGGCCATCTCTTCATATCATCAGTTAGAGCGTTTCTCTCACTCATTCGTTGGGAGCGTGCCATCCCCTTTGTGTCATGGAGTGCACGCCCATTCCGTGTTGTCCTTTGGAGTGTCTCTCCACATCATACATTGATAGGTGCATACCTTCGGGATCTTCGGAGCATTTCTCCTCCCGTCGTCGTCCGTTCATAGACACGTGTTTTTGGGATCGTCGGAGCGTTTTCCCCTCCCTTTTTCTGCATGTGTTTTGCATCGTCCCTTCATGGACATGTGCCTTTGGGATCGTCGAAGCTTTCTCCATCCCCTTTTTGGCATATGTTTCGCATTGTCCATTCGCAGGCGCACGTGTTCGGGATCGTAGGAGCATTTCTCCACCTGTCGCTGGCAGACGTTGCCACAATTATTCGTCGGAGCGTTTCTCCATGTCATCCGTCTGCAGGCATGTGCCTCTGGGTTCGTAGGAGTGTGTCTCTGCCCATCGCTGGCCGACGTTGCCAACCATTGTTCGTCGGAGCATTTCTCCACGTCATCTGGTCATATGTGCGTGCCTCTGGGTCTGTAGGAGCAATTTCTCCACCCGTTGCTGGCAGACATAGCAGTATTGTTTGCCGGAGCATTTCTCCATGTCGTTCGTTCCTAGATGCATGCCTTCTGGATCGTTGGACCTTATGGCTTTCTGTCACTGTTCATCGGGGCATTTTGTCCATGTCGTCTGTTCATAAGGATGTGCCTCCAAGTCCGTAGGGTTTTTCCCCAACCATTACTGGCCGATGTTGCCAGCGTTGTCTACTGGAGCCTTTTTCCATGTCGTCCATCCATCGGCGAATGCCTTCAGGATCATAGGAGTGTTTCTCATCATGTTACTGGCAGACGTTGCCAGCGTTGTTCATCGGAGCCTTACACAGCAACTTCGAATTTTTGTTTCTATGTTCCGGTTCTTTGTGGGACCTTAAGGAATGATCTGTTTCCCTTGCGAACGTGAAGCATATCAGATATGTTATCAGGCTCCGGGTTCTTCTCGTGGGTGCAGAACGCGGACATGTTATACAGCGCAATGCTATGAACTTCAACGGTCGCCATGCCCCAGGAGTACATCGAAGAACCTTTGGCTTTTGGTCGATGTGTCAACTGACCGGAGCATCTGTCTTGTTATGGGCCATTGCTGCCGGGTAACTTGGCGCTGGGTCTCGGGGCTGGATGTGAGATGGGTGCAAAACCTGGTCAGGTGATAATGGCATGCTCGTGTTTGCTGCCCACGCAGCGGATGCCCAGACCACCCAGGATACCTCCCTGATCATTCAGGGCGACGATATGGGTGTCACCGTCGCATATAATTGTGGTCACGTTCATCACACGAACGACTCCATTTGTCATGTCGATATTATTGCCGTGGCCTCAGCCTCGCCTTCCTTCCATGTCTGTGTTATAACTGCAGATAATTTTGCTACCCCGGCCTCTCAGGGTGTTATGGACGTCTAGCTACCTCGTCTTGCCACCTCGAAGTGGAGCTTCAACCTTTCGTTCTTGTTAGCACAACCTCACGGCCAACTCTTGTGCGGGCCGGCACAACGGCGCACGACCGGGAAGCCTACACTCGGTTGTTCCATGTCCCCGCGGCTGGATTCCTCGTTCTTTGGCAAACCTCCCGTGGCATTCAGCATCTCGTCTTCTCCTTCATATGGAACCTATGTGTTCTCTTCTATGTCTTCCTGCCTGCACTGAAGGGAAAGACCTACCATTTGTGATGCTAGGCTTCTCAGACCCGCTCAGTTTGCGATTTGTTTTCGGCGTTCCTGAGTTTGCATACAAGCTCACACCCACAACCCTTGTTGCTGCCTTCGTTGCTCCTTGGCATGGTCGAGCTACTCGTTCTATCATGGTTTAACTGGCTTGCCAGTCTGCATTCCTGGCTTATCGAAAATGGTGTGCCTTGGCACTGTGATGACGTGTTAGAAATGGTGTAACAATGGCTAGCACGGCTGTCTCGGCAAACTTCTCCTAGCCCGCCGTACCCTCTTGTGACCCTCGAGCATATGCACCCTTGTGATAAGGTTTAGTCCTTCCAACACCAAAGCCTGATGCCAGTGTGTATGCATGTGTGCATGGTGGATTGGTGCGTATGTCGATCCAGCAAGGTTATCATGCCCAGTTTTTAGCCTGGTTGACCTTGGATTTCTCATCGCGCAAGTGCGGCGCCCCGTGTAGTTCGCATATCGCCTGGTGGCTGGCGAGAACACCGTCGCTATGTCTGTTCGAGTGATTCTGTCGCTATATACCATACCTCATCCTTCTCTACATGACCCAGTGTGGGGGAGTCGTGGCGGCAGAGGCGGCACGACTGTTGTGGGTCGGGTGGTGTAGTCGTGCCTCCCTCGTTAGGCTGCTACGCCGCCACTTCACGCTCGAGAGTTCGGCCCAGACGCGCTCGGAAGCCCTGGATCGTCGGTCAGCGAATCAGGAGTCTGGCCACCGATGCCAGGACCCCGGACACCAGCGATCCAGATCCCGAGCACCCTTCGTGCACGGCGGAAAAAGCCGCGTGCTTGCCCGGCCGAACCCTCTCCCCCACACACCGTCGTAGTATTCAAGGTTGTTCATACCACTCCATCTCACCTCGCAAGCGCCCGCTGAACTTAGGAAGCTATCCCTATAGCCCCACCTCTACCCCGATGCCATAATGCCCCACGCTATGTCACGTTGTCGCTCACCCTTCGCTCGATTTCTGGACACAGAATGAATAGTTAATGCACGTTCTTCATGTGCACGACTCGTAGCACAACTGTACCTAGCTAAGCTGCCACCGTATTTTGAAGCCTAGCTGCAAAGATCTTCCGAGTATTTCTGATCGCGATCATATGTTAAGCATTCCAATGCGCTGTAATCCCGAGATACACTACTTGGCACACCTCGATATATGCGCCACTCAGAGTCCTCAGCACTTTGGATCTCAAGGTAATCACTGAGTCATATTACAGGCTACACTTTGCAACACAGTCTAATGCTAACTCACACATTTCATCCTTCCATTCACTGCAACTTCACCCGCCAGCCAGCAGGCACTCACTCCTCGGCCACCAAGATAACCTTCTTGCCCTTATTTTTCCCCGTCAACACGTCCAGGATCGCCTGACCAGCCGACCCGAGGCCCTTGCTGATGTCTTCTTTATGCTTGAACTCGCCGCTCGCGACTTTGGGAGGAATCTCCTTGTAAAAGTCCGCGAGCCATTTCTCGTGTAGGTTATCAACAATGAATCCGGAGATCCGCAGCTGCTTGCCGACGATGTTGACGAGGTTCTTGACGCAGTAAGGCTCGCCGCCGTTATAAGTCGAGATCATACCGCATTCCTAAACGTCTTACGATTCAGCGACGGAGAAAAGCGTTACAAGACGGACATACAATGAAGCGAGCGCCAACGGCAGCAGCTTCGAGTGCCGCTTCGAGCGTCTCACCGCCCACATTGTCCCAGTAGCTGTATGTCACCGGTCAACAGGTATTGGCGCTTAACCTCGCTCGCAACGCACATGTTGATTGGACCGTTCTTCTGGAGCACATCGAGCGCCTTCGTCATTTTGTAGTTGAACGCGACATCTGCGCCGATCGAACGGATGAAGTCAACCTTGTCCTCAGATCCGGCAGATGCGATGACTTTGAGTCCCTCAGCTTTCGCAAGCTGAATTACGGTACTGCGAAGGAGAAACAATGCTGATGAGTACTTCTACGAATACCTCTGTTTTTATGAATGAAGCTCACGCTCCGACGGGACCTGTAAAGGACAGCAACAGTCAGACTCATGAATGCACATCCACCGGCCTGATTACTTACCTGCTCCAGAAGTGACGAACACAACATCTCCCTGAATACGATCGCGTTACATCAGCACCTATGCCACAAGTTGCTAAGAATCGGTGCGATGGCTCACCTTCTTCGGATGGGCAAGTTCCTTCCATCCGTGATGGGCGGTTTGACCTGAATGTCGGCATGCATTTAAATTACGGATGAGGCCCTCAAAAGGAATCAACGGACCTGGCATCCCCAAGACGCCAACATATGCCGACCACGGAAGCTTCTCCTTATTCTCCAGCACGCTGAAGCCTTTCGCATCCTTGGCAACAAAGTACTCTTGGAAGGCTATTGGCGCGGCGACAAATGACAAAATAGGTTGTGAAGGGGAAACGTCAGAACAGGATGTGCAAGTGGTGAGCGCATTAAAACGTACGGTAAAAACCGTAGAGGTGGTCGCCGGGCTTGAAAGACGGATTCGCAGAGCGTAACACCACACCGACGCCATAGTTGTTCAATCTACGAGCATCAACATCAACATACGCAGGAAGCCCTACGCACACGAAGCTACTCACGGCTGTCCTGTGGGATACGCGGGCTACGCGCACATACGCCTGTTCAGCAGCAAGAGTCAGATTGAAAGGCGCATACATACTGAATAACTCTCGATGCTAGGGTCACGCATCCTGCCTCTCATATACGGATCGATGGAGAGCACAAGAATCTTGACGAGGAAACCACCCTCGAGGGGTTCGTTATCGAGGTCGATGGTTTGGGATTGATCATAAACCGTCGTCCTGGATGGATCGGGGTAGCCTGTGCGTGCGGCATGGTCGGGTTTCCTCTGGTTATGAATACAGACGCGACTGCCACGTACCGGTAGGGATTTCGTTGAACAGAACGCGTCCATTTCTAACAGGAGCCATTACGCAATTCAGGGGCGCGCAGCGTGTTGTTCAATTTCGGATGATCAGACTCCAGGTAAAAAGGAAGTGAAACAGTGAAGCGAGGGCGGACTTGCTTCATTTATATCGTTGGCTCGTCGCCGGGGCCCATCCGCTTCAGCGACATCTGACAAATCCGAGCGCTGACGTAGTTGTCCTACTCCGATGAGTCGGCGATGACGCATCAATTCCGGAATTAAAATTATCAGTCAGCATGGCCCGCAAGCAATGGTGGAAAAATCCAGAACTCACAAGCTAGAGCCGGTGCTGGGCATGGCCGCTAACGCATCGCGGAATCACCGTCCTCTTGAAAAAGGCGCCGATGTGACAGTGTCGCGCGTTTGTCACACTTGGACGCGTCTGTGGCGTGCGCAGCGCAGCGTACACAGAATATCTCTCCATGGGGAAAATCCGTATAGACCGGGTGTACCTTTAGTGAACGTGTTCAGTTGGGAATAAATAACATTTTGTAAACTAAGAGTGTAGTCATTATTTGCCATGCAGGACGAGCCTGACTACCACATAACATGAACGGAGCCGGGATGTGAACTAGAACAATGGCTTCATTGGCAAAGAGCAATGGGGTGCTTAAACGAACACACAGTGGTATGAGATGTTCAAGAGTCAAGTGGTCACTTGAATAGAGATGACTATGGACTCTGTGGACATTGACCTAGCAAAGATGATAGCAAGACTAGGAGGCCTTGCCTCAAAGTGCATTGGTACAGTATATATATGCATGTAAGGAAGACCCCGGTGGCTCTGACTATATGATAGAACATAATAGAATACACATGATTGATGTCATGTGAGCTTGTACCAGCCTGCTTTCAATGACCAGAATAGCAGCCAACAGCCAGTGTTCCTCAGGCTTCTAACGAGAATTCGACTCTGTGTTCTTGGAAATTTGCTGCTAACTCATACAACTCATACATTTCATCCATTCATTCACTGCACCTTCACGCGCCAACCAGCAGGCGCTCACTCCTCAGACACCAAAATAACCTTCTTCCCCTTGTTTTTCCCCGTCATCACGTCCAGGATGGCCTGACCAACCGACTCAAGGCCCTTGCTCACATCCTCCTTGTGCTTAATCTCTCCGCTCGCGACCTTGCGAGGAATCTCCTTGTGAAAGTCCGCGAGGTGTTTCTCGTGCAGGGACGTCACGATGAACCCGGAGATGCGTAGCTGCTTGCCGACGATGTAGGATAGGTTCTTCACAGTGTACGGCTGCTCGCCGTTATAACCCGAGATCATACCGCATTCCTAGACACCTCACGGTTCAGCGATGGAAGAGCAGCTTGAAAGATGGACATACGATGAAGCGAGCACCAACGGCAGCAGCTTCGAGTGCCGCTTCGAGCGTCTCACCACCCACGTTGTCCCAATAGCTGTATCTCGCCGGTCAATATGCATTGGTGCTTAACCTCGCTCGCAACTCACATGTTGATTGGACCGTTCTTCTGGAGAACGTCTAGCGTTTTCGTCGTTTTGTAATTAAACGCAACATCCGCGCCGAGCGAACGGACGAAATCAACCTTCTCCTCGGATCCGGCGGATGCGATGACTTTCAGGCCCTCAGCCTTTGCAAGCTGGATCACGGTACTGCGAAGGAGAAGCGGCACTTATGAGTACTCTTACGAATACTTCGTCCTGCGAATCAAGCTCACGCTCCGACGGGACCTGGGAAGGTCAGCAATGATCAGACTCGCAAATGCACATTCACCGGTCTGGATTACATACCTGCCCCAGCGGTGACGAACACAACGTCTCCCTGAGCACGATCGCATTCATCAGCACCTGTGCTAAATGCTAAGAACCGGTGCGATGGCTCACCTTCTTGGGGTGAGCAAATTCCTTCCATCCGTGATGCGCGGTTTGACCTGGACGTCGGCTTTCATGTAGCTCAAGAATGGATCCCCAAAGGGAACGAACGGACCTGGCATGCCCAAGACGCCAACGTACACGGACCACGGAAGCTTCTCCTTATTCTCCAGCACGCTGAAGGCTTTCGCATCCTTGGCAACAAGGTATTCTTGGAAGGCTATCACATTCACGACAAATTGGTCGACATGACCACAATAACATGCGAAGGAGAAACATCAGAATCGGATGTACAGATAGTGACCGCGTTAACACGTACGGTAACTACCATAGAGGTGATCGCCGGGCTTGATAGATGGATTTTCGGAGCGCAGCACCACACCGACGCCATAGCTGGTCAATCTGCGCGCATTCAACGTCAACATGAATCACCCCCCCCTTCATAAAGAGACTCACGGCTCTCCGATGAGATACGGACGCTACGTACGTCTGTCCAGCAGCGAGCTAGAATAAAATTGGGGAATGCACACGCACCGAATAGCTTCCGATGCTGGCGTCACGCATCTTGCCCCTCATGTACGGATCGATGGAGAGCACAAGGGTCTTGACGAGGAAACCGCCCTCGAGGGGCTCCTTCTCAAGGTCGAGGATCTTGGATTGATCGTAGACTGTTGTCCTGGCTGGATCGGGGTAGCCTGCGTGGGGGGCACGGTCGGGCCTGCTGAATACAGGTGCGACTGTCACGTACCTGAAGGTATCTCGTTAAAGAGAACGCGTCCGTTTCTTACAGGAGCCATTACGCGATTTCAGGAGCTCGCAGCGCTCCGTTTGGTATCGGGTCTGTTCAAACGAAAGAGTGAAGCAATCTTCATCACGATGTGGTTTGTCATGCTTCATTTATATATATCAACAGCCCCCATGCTCTTCAGCGATTGCGACAGCAGTCGACATCTGACAAAGCATAGTGCTGACATAGCTGCCTTCCCCGATGACCGGCCACATGTACAAGCACCAGGGGCAAAGAATGTCCAGAACTCACAACGCAACAGAGCGATGCCGGCATTGCTCGTCCTCTGATTCATTTATAAATGCCATTTAGCATCCTTAAATTCCCATTTATGTCCAGATTTGGTGATACTAAACCACATTTGGAAGGATTTGTCACGAAAAAAGCAGTCACAAATATCCCCTGTGTGGCCCGCGCACGATCTTGCCTTTTCTGTCTCCCACCGCCAACGCGCCCTCCGCCCCCGACTGCGAAAAATAGTCGAATAAACGGGATTATCTTCCCATTGCTCGTCAACATCAGTCCATCTTCCATTTACTGTTCATACTCAGCATCTACAAACATTCACAGAGTCCTTAGAGATCAGTGTCGCCGAGTCCCTCCCCAACAAACGCAGCTCGTGACCACGTTCTTCCGCTTTTGCATGGTGACGTAGTAGCTAACCCCGACCATCGCTGCGGTCAGCACGAATGGTGTGCCAGGTGCTGGCTGGGTCAGTCGGTGAACGCGGCAAGCGTGGATGTTAACTTAGCTCAACGTGAAACCGTAACGCCTCCAATGCTGACTCGTGCAGCGTTTCCCAGCACCCGTGGCGATCCAAATGCTTCCGACTTGAGGCATTCTTCCCGCTCGATCCTTTTGCGCCATAAAACCCCGGCCACCTGATAGGGGCTACCGGTGATTCTGACCTCCTATCTCCTTCAAGCTCGAGCAACTTTGCATCACTTCATCTTCGTTCATATTGCTGCTGGGCTTCACATGCACAGATACTCGACGATGATACGCAGCGCGCGAGTGGCGCAAGGAGCACGCTGTGATGTTCGTGTCATCCATGGACTCCGCGATATACGAGGCAGCTCGCAGTCAATTGTCGCCTATTCGACTCATGCGGATGCTAGCTTGAGGCCTCCGTTCACGGCCGCAACGGCTCTGCAGAAGGTAAAAGCGGCGCAGCATTTGTGGAACACTCGTGATCCCGCGAAAGTCGCGCTCGCATACACGGCAAGTCGGTGAGAGCCGCATGGGTGTGCTCTCCAGCTCACGAACCCGCACAGCCGGACACGATCTGGCGCAATAGAGACCAGTTCCTCAAGGGCAGAGAGGAAATCGTGCAATTCCTCGCCAAGAAATGGGAAAAGGAGGACGGATACAGACTGCGGAAGGAGCTCTTTGCGTTTACGGACAACAAAATTGCCGTACAGGTGAGTTAATCGGGTCCTGACGTGAATCGAATGATGCGTGCATAATGACAAGCAAATTCATCAGTTCTTCTACGAGTGGTATGAAGTTAAGGCGAATGGAAGCAAGCAGTGGTACCGCTGCTACGGGCTGGAGGTATGAACGGATGTCATCCCGTTCCGTAAATTTGATCATAATTTGATCCGCGTGTCCGCTGCAGGATTGGACGTTTGCCGAGGATGGCCTCATGCGCAAACGTCAGATGAGCGGAAACGACGTGGCTATCACCGAAGAGGAGCGTTGGTTCAAGGACGATGTTGTCGATGAAGACACTGTCGAGATCTCCGAGAGGCATCTATGATCCCCTTTGTGCGTGATGTCTTGGACGCTGAACATGCGGTGCCGATATCTATGACGGAGACTGCTCAGCCGCAGGCTGTCACATAGGATATCGCCTATACAAGGTTGGCTCTGCTGTCAAATTTGACGGATCTGATGATGCACTATCGATCCACATGTATCTCACAGGGAGATCGGTAGTCTTGCGATTGACACTCTTCATGACGGACTCGGAACCCTCCTGTGGCAAAGCCGAATGCTGAATGAGTGTCAGAGGATCGCGCTTAACGCCGAGCGCCGGTGATGATGGCAGGCCCCAGGTCGCCTCTCTGCAACTCTCGTGCGAGCCGACGACCAAGCGAAACTGGTTTGAGGATTCCGCCTGGTGCTGTTCGCAACGCGAGCAAGGCCATCAGAAAGGGCGGAGATACGGAATAAGCAGCACGTGCAAGGGACATGCGGCTAGTCCGCTGCTTCTCGCCTTCGCTGTCAGAGAAATGTATGCACGACACTGCGTCCTTTGGCGATTCTCCCACCTGCGGCGCATCCCTCTTAACTTTTCCGGTCGCTCTGCGCGGCCCAGACGGCCCAAGTCGCCATGGCATTCGCATCAGCGCAATTTCGACCCTATCGTGGCCAGCTCATTCCCCTCCCGTCGGCTCTGTTTCTACGGCGTGTCATGATCAACTTCATTAACGCTCATATGTGAGCTATCCCGAAGACGTCCAACGTAAGTAGCGCGAGCCCAGATTCCGAAGATATAAATGCCGTCGCCGTTCGACTAGCCCGAAACACAGCGTTCCTTATCCTTGGGCTTCTTCCACCATCCTCAGCCGTTGGCGTCTGGACTTTCTGATTCCTTCATAACCG